TGCCGTGTGACCTATAACCGAGTCGTAGCTAAGTGCCGTGTGACCTATAACCGAGTCGTAGCTAAGTGCCGTGTGACCTATAACCGAGTCGTAGCGGCTAGTGATATCTAGTGATGTCTAGTGATATCTAGCCGCATCTGACGCGCCTGCGCCCAAGTCACCTCATAACTCATTAATCGTCCCCACCACCTCACCACCGCTCGGCAGTGTGGCCTCACAACCCATACACCAAGTGGTACTGTCTTCACCCGACGTTGATGCCTAACAACCCTCACGCCGAGTAGGCCTCACGCTCATTATGCTTCATCACGACCATCATCACCCTAACGCACGACCACACCCACAAGGACAAACCCCTTTCGTGTGGTCAAACGAGGCACAGACTGCGTTTCAGTCTCTTTTTAAGTGTCTCACTAGGACTGTGAATTGCTTCCGGTATGACGATTTTCATACGCTGAGAACCCAGTAACTCACGCTACTGTACGCTTGCACCGAGCAATCTTCGCGATGCAGCGTGACACTAAAGTGGCACACGCGCGAAATAAGCGCCCTTATGCTAGGCGCGCGAGGGTTCAGTCCTTTGACATAGGAGACCCCGTTTTTTTAACCCCACGTTGGCAGCCTTACTATACCGTGGTCGAGAAATTTCCTCCACAGCCACTTTGTAGTAATGCACAAGGCCAGACACGTACTCGCGATGTACATGTGAGTAATCTTAGACACGCATGCCCATTCTCGGCATGGGATGCACATAGAACCGTGCTTACGGGTCGAAACGCCACGTGTCACGACCAATGCGTCAGGGACGCTGGTTGACACAGGGCCTCTTTCGTCGCCTCCCTACGACAGCCCGTCGACCAATGCGTCAGGGACGCTGGACAACACGGGGCCTCTTTCGTCGATGCCCCCACGATGACACGCATACAGCCAGTGTGGCTAGAACGCCAATCACTGATAGCTGTGATGCAGACGAGTTGTTGCCACTCGCGCAATATAGCCGACTGCGTTACAGAGAAATGTATACACGACGTTCATGTAATGACGCCAAACTACGGTCATTCCGTTGGCGGCATGCATCGCCATTTCACGATGCACACTCCTACTCTATAAGTAGCCCATTATTTGCTAAATACCGGCATAAGGATAGTTTTACGGCCTCGGACGACGTGCAGCGTGTGCACCGCTAGCACTAGTCTTGCTAATCGGTAGAGATCATCGTATTACTTTGTTTATTACTTTATTCGTAAAGCGCACTATAAGAAAGATGCGCTTCATCTAAACGCATGTATTTCTCAGACGCCGTTTAAAGCGGCCTACTTGTAACTCTGTTTATGCCGCGGCTTGTACGCGACCACGTTCTACAAATTGTCTCACGCCGCTATGGCAATTACCGGGCAGCCATTGTCACATACTGTCCCGGCTATGGCACGGTGCCACTTGTTACGCCCACACTTAACATTGTCATGGACCACGCAAACAGCGGTCACGACGAGGAACGGCAGCTACAAACGCTGTTGTTTCCGCCGCCGACTTGCGCCGTGACTCCTGCGCAAGCGTCGCCAGCAGGGGCCTGCGCCACCTGCGCCTACACCAGCGCCGCCTGATTGCATCCGGGCCTCATGCGCCAGCGTCGCCGCAGCCTATGCCTGCGACGCCTGTGCTGCGGAGCGAGGGGAGCATATGCTACCCGCCCCGCCGCAGGCACGCTACACCGGCACGGCGATGACCGACCTCTCTTCCCCGCAGCCAGACGACGACAACGACTCCAGGGAGGACGACCGGCCGTGGCTAAACCCGGAGGCGCAGATACACGCAAGATTTGCAAGGCCAAACAATACACAGGACCATTTCAGCACGAATTCCACGTAGGGGAGTGCAACTACCCCTCAGACGTCAACCCCGAAGACATAGCCGCCATGGCCCGAGGGATGGCTGCGACGGCCATCTTGTCCGCCATGACGATACCATCAGCCCCCTCACCCGACGCATCCGACGAGGAAGTCGACCACTGACGTCAACTGAACTTCACGTCGCTTCACTTCGCAGCCGCTTCAGAACCGCGAATATCCTCTAGTAGTTTTGTACGGTGTGCGGTCGCGTGGTCGAGGCCCACACCAGTAGACAATCATGTAACATTATTATGCATTGTGTATTATCAACTTATTGTATTAGTCGTAGCTATGTCGCTATCTAACAGAGCATGTAACCAAATTTGGCTATAAAAATTACCATGACGCGTAAGGCCAGCCAGGAGGCTGGCATTCGATGTCCACTTTTGTGAACATCGGTTTAGTGGAGGGAGGAATGTAGTGGCTAGATATCACTAGACATCACTAGATGCCACTAGCCGCTACGACTCGGTTATAGGTCACACGGCACTTAGCTACGACTCGGTTATAGGTCACACGGCACTTAGCTACGACTCGG